GTAGGATGAGAATATTTCTGTAACATGCAAAATCAGCTTCCATGGAGTTGTCTTTGTGGTTATCCTTCTGTCTTTATGTAATGGTCTCTTTGCTTCTGTAGAGTTTCAGGCAGTCTTATGATGTTGTAGCTTTCCAGGCTTTATTTTCTGGTTTATTTTTTTTAGCAGATATCTTTAAATTTGAAGTATATATTGAGAATATTCATATAGTGCTCCATATTTGCATATAACTGTTCAAAAAATACCATTATTTATTTTAGAAATAACAGTGAGTACAGCTTTATCCTTTTCATTCACTATGTATGTAGTGTATTATCATTTAACGTCTAGTCTAATATTTTATGCACAGAATGGAAAACAACCTCCTCCTCTCAGAGTCCCAGGCACTGCGAAATCAATGTCAAATCACAGTTGCTGAGAAAGACCGACAGATTGCAGAACTACAGAAGCTGCAACAAGACATGATTATTACGAAGTCTGTCTCTGCTGGCGGCAATTACCCAGCCAAGGTAAACAAATGAAATGTAGCAGGAGACACGAATCTGTTTCCATCAGTTTATCCATCAGTATTAAGTTTGCAGCCTGCTTCCCAAAAGAGAGCTATATAGCATATGCAGTATGGAAAGCTGGTGAGTGCATTACCTGTGTTTCACTGTTGCCTGGGGTCAAATCAGCAAATTACAACTATTCCAAGCAATTATTAAAAACACTTTGTAGTGGAGTCTGATATCTTGATCAACTTTTTGTAAACAAAGAAAAATAATGAGTTTCTTGTATGTTGGTAAAATAACAGGGAGATCTTGCTGGTGTGGTATATTTTCATGGTCAAAAGCATGACAGAACCTTCATAAAGAAGTGAAATAGTTGTGAAGCAGAAAGTGAAGGTCATGAACCACTAATGGTTACTGCTTCTTAGTCAAAAAGGAGTCACAGTTTGCTGTGGTTACGTTGTAAGGTAATGACAAGCTGACGAGTTGCTAGTGTTAGTAGATGATTTAAGTAATCTTGTAAGTTACTATGTTAGGCTAGTTAAATCAGGATATAATATGAAGGAGTTAAATATAAAGTGGTACAAACAGGGTTCTACAGCAGACTGGGTGCTGATAAATAGAGCCACATATTGGAAAGGGAAAGAAGAACTGGAGCACTTTACAGATTTCTCAGTTAATTCTTTCAAATCAAGAAGAGGATAGGGAACTTTCAGGCAACTCCAGGAGGAATTCTTCTGGTTTAGTAGCTGAGATGAAACACGTTATGTCCACAAGTGGGAATATAGTTCCTGCCTCTTGTGCCAATTTCGTATCTATCACGCATCCTTTTACTGTTTGCACTATTATAACACCAGTGTGGTTACTTGTTCTTATACGACACGCGTTCAAAAGAGAACAGCATGCTGTACTATTACTCGTAGGATGCCAACAATGTATTTATTGTCACTGAGTCCTTGCATCCTGATTGACTTCATCACCTGCCAGGCAGCCTGTAGTCCAGCTGTGTTCTGCCAACCTCTGTCTCTCTCAATGGGTTATATCAAGTTGCTTCTTGTCTCCCCCAGTTCAATGATTGTTACACTAAGCGTAGAAGCATCGTAATTTTTTGAGACATGAACTTTCTTTTAAAATTTAATTTTAGAATTGGCTAGCTGCTGCAGATATCATTGGGGGAACAGACAGACAAGCAAGATGACTTGCATAGGTCTTATTTATAGAAAACTGGTCTAGATCAAATCAGTTAGGTTGAAAACACTAAGTAGAAGATTTTTTTGAATATGTAAAGTCTCTTGCAAGTGTGGTATTAACTTGTGAGAAGGAAATTATCTTGTGAAAAAGAAATTATTGTGTAGCCCATGTGTATATTTAGTGTTGGAGTTGTATATTATTTAGAAACTTCCTATACCATTTACCCTGAAAATGCTAACATATTTTTTTAGGGTTTAGAAACTGCCTCCCTCGCTGGAAGTGCAGACATGCCAGAGGACATCAGACATGTCTTAGCTGAGAAGAATCGGCTTCAAAATGAACTGCAGCGCTGTCTGGAGGAGATAGGCCAGAGGGATCTGCATTTTCAGCAGATTAATTCAAAGGTAACTTAGAACAACAGCTGTGATCCTGAACAGCCCATGTGGGTCTGGGCTGGTACCAACACAGAAATATTGCTGAATTGGCGGTGTCGTGGATGATTGAAAGCTAGTGTGCTTTAAAACTTAAATTCTTCAAAACAACCCTGTTGGCTCAGACTAGAAATGGCAAATTAATTGTCAGTGTTGTCTTTCCATCAGGCTTTTCTGACTTATTTGACTGAGAGAGGTTGATTTGAATCTGCATTCTGAAGAGATTGATGGGGCACTGCTGAACTTCTCCTCAAAGGGAAATATGTTTCATTATAGATGGAGGCAGCTGCCTGTCTTAGCTGGAGCGAGGCTTTAGCTATCACATACCAAATTTTAAATACCTCAAAAATGTTTCCTTACACGTTCTTGAGGAACACTTTTGTGGCTGTTAAGATAGTAAGTCTGTCTGCATGCCCGTGTGTTTGTGTTCAGTTTTGTTCCCAAAAGTTTGTAAATGCTCTTGGAAATTCCCTTAATGTTTATCTCTCTGGGTGTAGCCTGGTATTTGAAACAAATGAGGTTTATCTTACCTCACATCTGTCATTGTGTCTGCTTGCACTGCTTCACCCAAATATTTTGTAGACTTAGTAACGGTTTTAACCAAGCTGTGAAACAGTTGTAGAAATCTCAAGCTCCTGCAGGTGAAGGTGAGTGCTTGGGTGATGGGTGGAGGCTCCAATTACAATCTCTTTTTTTCTGGACTGCCTGGTGAACGTGTCTATATGGCTATATGGATTGTCCTGAAGTAGTAATTTCGTATACTGTCTTTTGCCAGGTGGTGATATCATAGCAAACACGGGGAGGAAGGCATTGGGGTTTAAAACCCTGAGTTTCTGGTTTGGGCATATTGATGACAGGGACAATCAATACTCAGGTTTCATTATTTCCGCTACTCATAAAACAACTAATTAAATCTTACCAAACTGTGAGCTTGCCAAAAAGTTGATGCAGTTTTGTAACTAGTACTCTGTTGTTTTCAACAGCAGGTCTTAAATCTGTAGTAAATTTCCGGGAGCATATAATTCCTGATTTTTATTTATTTAAATGTTAATTTGTTTCAGGTTGTGCAGTCAGCAGAAGAGAACGCTGTCTTGTCTGCCCAGTTGAAGACTCTTTCACAGACTCTAATGGAGAACCAGCTTCATTACACTGACTTGCAAAATCGTTATTTAAGGCTGGAGAGGGAATATCAGACAATGCAAGTGACATCCTTCCAAAGCACTGTTCAGGTAAACAAATATATGGAAATATTTTTAGGGGTTTTTTTCTTCTGTGCTTACACTTTTCTAGTTTTCATGCTAAAAATGAAGTAAATACTCTTTGTAGTACTGATTGAGTACTTTTGCTGGCCCATGATGTGCTGAAGAGAACTCTCTTTATTGCTGTATAAGCGTTTTTATTTGACTTTTCATGTCAGGAAGCTGTTTTACATGCTTTTTTTTTTATTTTGTTGTCTTTTTTTTGAATCGCTCTACAGCTGGCAGAGATAATTGGATGATCCCTAATCACTGGATCTAAGTTTAGTGATAATTTCACATCAGTCGTGAATTATATGTTTTCAGAAGTGACATCTGTATTACCTGTTCAGCATTTCAGTACACTTTGCCAGCCCCTCATACACATCTGTAAGCTTACTCCTTTGTGATCTCTTCATTTTTGAAGTTTTCCTGTACTGCCTTGATTAATTGATTGTTATGCAGTAACAATCAATTAATATAATACCCTAAAATGTCATATGGATACATATGTAATACAACCCTTACTTTTCCATAAACAGAAATAAACATGAACAAGGAGAACTGTAAACTGAAAAATAAATGAATAGCTGCATTACTTAGGAAACTGCAGTCAGTTCTAGATTACTGTGTGGGTGTGTAGATGCATTTCTTTCACTTCAGACATTGTTCATAGTTTGCTGTATTATGCAGTGCATGTGTATCCTTCAAGTCCTGCAGCACACACAGGCCGTATTCTTCATCAACTTTGTTACAAAACAGGTTTGGAAGATTGCAGCTCCGGAAATTAAAAGATTAAATGACACAAAGAGTAGTTTGTTCCCCTGCTTTGTGGTGCTTCTGGCTTCTTTAATTGAAAGAAAGATTTTTAGCAACTAGAAAAAATGGTGACTGGCTTTTTTTTTCCCTTTTAATATTTTCTAGGATGAAACTAGAGCAGAAGTTCCCCCCGGAGCGCCACAGGAAAGATCTGCGGTTATTGTTGAAATAGACAATATGGAGCTAAATGAACTCAGAAAAAGGTCAGGACTTAGAGAATGTATTAGCAATATTGTTTTCCTGACAGCTGTGTTGGAAGTGTGAAAGTAATGCTTTTTTATTCCTCTAAGGCATTTTGGGGGAAAAGGGAAAGAAGCGGATTTACAGTGGATGAAATGAATCATGGTCATATTCTTGAATTATTATTTGCTAGTATTGGTGGCTTGTTTTTGTAAAGATATATACTTATTGGTGACTTTATTTCAATATTTAATTTAAAGCATCTCATTATGATTAAGTCTTTATCACAGAAAAGAACATTCCTTAATAAAAAAGAGCAAGACATGAATACTTGAAGTACATAAAATATTGATTTCAGATTTCATTTTGTCATAGGCTTGCAGAGACTGAGCAACAGTACGATTCAGTGCAGCAGGCGCTCTCACAGCTGACAGAAACGCTGTCAGAAGAGAAGAGGAGGAGAGAAGCTGCAGAAGAGGCTCTTGGACTCTCTGAGGAGCGAATTAACAGGTAAAATACGCTTGTCTGTAAAACATTTATTTTTCTTTTCTTATACTTTTGAAGTATGTGACAGTTAGATTGCTGCATTAAACCCTTAGGTGGGTATGAAATAACTTGTGTGTTCAGAGAGTCAGAGGCATCTTTTGCTTCTGCTTCCCCATGGACAGAGGTGTGGTGAGGTTTTCATTTACACTGTGCCTGGAGTAAATGCAAAGTGTACTACAGAACTGGCAAAAGGACTGTCAGGTTTTTTTTGTTTGTTTGTTTGTCTTTTATTTTCAGTGAGATTAGTGATAGGTTTTCCTGTGGGTGTTAGATTTCTGAGCAAATAATAGAACCTGTTTGTGAGCCCACAGTACCTGAAGCAATGAAAGTACATGTGTAACTGTGTTAAAAGCTACATCTGACTCTATGGATCAAGAACACGTTAGGGGCTTTGGGATTTTTTTGTCTTTATTTAATTTCTTGCTTCAGGTGTTGGACTTGGTAGTCAAGGGTATTTCTTTTTTTCCAAGCTAGAAAAAATTCTCACAGCTTTAGTACAGGCACTCTTTAGATTTAAAATATCATTATTCATCAGTCTGCATAAAGTGTCCATCACTGCTGTCATCTGAAAATCTCCATTCCATCAGCTAGCCCTGATGGGGGTTATTCTGAATAAATGAAACCTCTTGAGAATAGATTGTAAGCAGAGACTGACAAAGACTTGGCAAGGTAAGCTGTTTTTTGTGGGGACCTTTCCCCAGGAGTGTAAGTATACAAAATAATGTCTCATGGGAATTTGTTACTTCAAAAGAGCAGATAATTCAGTACTCTGTTGTCTCCCTTTATTTTTTCTCTAGATTTGAAGTAAGCAGTTACGGGTCTGTACCTGGCGAATACACTGTTCAGATGGAAACCGAGGAGGAGAGGGAAGCCTTAATCATCGATCCTAGTGAACATGTTGTTGTGCGAAAGGTACGTAAATGGAAACTTTTAAACCCCCTGAACTGGAAGCTGCTTAAGTGTTGTGTGCATATTGTGTACTGCAGGTTGCAGACTGGATTGAAGATGGCACAGATCGTTATCTCCTTCATGTCCCCCCTTTTTTTTTTTTTTTTCCTGTCTTCCCTGTGCTGTACCTTTCTTTGAGCTGTCATTCATTCTTGGAGCGCAGATTTCCCTTCTGAGTGACTGGGACCCACTGGTTTTGGGTTTTCCTCTTTATATGTAAACACTGGTATGGAGCAGCTGTTTGTCTGATCTGCCTTGTCTCCGAAAAACAGACTGTGAAGGACTCCTTTATTGTGTTGACGTCATGGGGATGGGTGAGGCGCAGAGACACCCAATCAAAGTAGTAAACTATTGCTGACACTACATTTTACTGAAAAAATGTCCTTCGTTTCTTTCTGTTTGGGTTGTGGATGGTGAGTCAGATGCAGGCAGCTGTGTAAAGCGTGCTGTATAACGTGTTAACACATGTCCAAATTAAAATGTGAGTAATCGTATTTATATTACACGTGCGGCCATTAAATAAAGTGTGTATGCATATAATTATGCATTTTCATCTCTAGAATGCAGATGTAATTACATAATACACAAACATCGTGTATCCATTCCTCTCCCCTTTTACTGATGCTGTTTTCCTTGGCCTTTACATCATTTGTGCTCACAGCCTGTGCTGCGGCATCCGTTGCTGCATCGGGGGCAGAGTCCCTCAGAAATCTGAGTTGCAGTGGAGCTGCTTCTGATTTGAACTTCATGATGATTTGATGTTTTTTGTTTCCTAACCAGATGAAAGGAGGAGCCCTTTCCTTTCGAAGATGGCTTCGAGGGCGAAGTCTTTACTGTTCTAAGCTTCTGACCTCCAGAGCAAAATCCCGCTATTTGTTCCTCACATACCTGGTTACGCTACACCTTGTTGTTTTACTGTGCCTCACTGGTGTGCTCTGAATACGCTTCATTTTCTGGGTAGATGGTTTCCCGTAGGTAATGGTGTGCCAATTCAAGATCATAGACTTTTCACATGCTGCTGTTAAGCTATGCACTGGACACAGTTGTATATATTCTTGTTACACTACGTGAATCTTGAGCTTCTTAAAAGAAACTTGTGTATATCACAGTTGCTCCAAAGTTGACTTGAATTGCTCTTTAACAGTGGAATATTATATTTGCTAAGGAGAAAATATTCCCCTCTGTTTGCCCTATAAAGAAACTGCTGCATACGAGTTATTTAATGTTGTTTGTGAGTACATAATGATCGATGACTACTGAATGGATTGTAAATGATATCTTTTCTATATAAATTTTATTTTAAGAGTTAAACTATAAATTTTAAAGGAATATTCAGCTATTACTGTTTATTGGCTTCTTGATTATCACAAGAAGTTTTATAGAGTGCAATAAAGAATTTTTGGTTTTTTTTTTTTTTGTTGGCTGAAAATAAAATATTTGAGAAGGTTGTTCTTTGGCCATACAGTTTGTGATGGCTCTGCCAAGGTGCACGGTTATGTATATGGTGATGAGGTAAGCCAGTGATTAAAGATTCACAGTTGAGATGACATGAAGAAATGTCTCCAGCTTCTTGGATTCCTTTACTGTTGTTTAAAGGTGCTATTTCTGTAACTTTTCTCATGGTGGGTTTTTTTTGTTTTTTTAATTCACTTGCACTTCTTGTCTCGCTGGGTTTGGTTGCTGCATATCTTTGGGGCAAAATGTTACTCAGGTGCTCAGCGCGTGAAATTCAAGCTTATAAAGACACAGCCTTACCTATTTTGCATGTTTGGGCTTCAAGGTAGAAATTAATAAAGGGTACGTTTTCAACTAAGAGGCTATAAGAAGCTGAGGATTTGCATTCATTTTCTGTAGACACACAACAGAATGTTATGCCTTGCATATTAATACATCCATGTTTTGTTACAGTGTTCTCTGAAACTGCACAACTACTTCTGATTGAAAAAATAGCTTATTTCTGAAGACTGTGACTGCCAGAAGCTGGAAGGTTGTTTTTTACAGCTTGTAGAGTTGTTTGCTGTTCTGTCTGCGTTTCTGCTCCCATCTGTGTAAAATGGAGATACAATCAAAACAAGCCTAGTCTAAAGGAGTAGACATAAAGTCACAAAAAAGGAGTAACCCTTGCATTTCTTTTTTGCTAGACTAAAATCCTAAAAGTCTTGTGGGAAAAGAAAAATCTAATGAGTATGGGAATGGAGGGATTCCGTCGGTTTTACTGATGGGCAGATACAAGGTTGAGTCTGAACAGAATTATCTGCCTGAGGTCCAGGGATTCTTGTATGTGAGGTCTGCTGCGCTGTCGCATGACAGGTAAGAAAGAGGGCTTGGTTGGCATTCGTGTTTGCAGAGTTACCATTTACCCAGTTGTATCCGATGTTCTGCCTCACTTGTGTTCTCCACGTGGAATGGGACAGGCTGCCAGCTGTAGTTACCACTGCAGGTATATCCCATAGATTTTCTTCTTTTGATGCGTCTTTAATATTTCTTAGTCTAGTAAAGGTCTAGATTTCTGTAGAAATCCCGTCAATTCCTATATAATGGGTGTCTTTTTTTTGTAAAATGGTAATGACTCATCTCTTTTGAGTGGCTGATTGCGGATTCAGTCCCTGTTTTCAGCTGTAGTGTCACCAAGGGCTGAGGTAAGTCGGCTATTTTCAGTCTTGGCACCACACAAACAGACAAGTACAGTTGGAACACAAGTACTGTACCTGGTAAGACTTTTCCCTTTCCAGCTTGAAGATGGCTGGTAACAGAATGATAATGAGCTATTCTTAGCTAATGGTGTTCTAACGAAGCAGAATGCTTTCCAATGACAAAGGGGACCTACTGAATCCTTCCAGTCTTACTCGTCTTGTGAGGGATTTTTGTCTTGGGGACAGAAAACAACCCTCTGTCATGAGGCATGGCAAGCTAGCGAGGGGGAAAGATGTTGGAGATTCTGCCCTAATTTATCCAGGTCTTTGTGCTGTCACTGTGATAAGCACAAAGAGGAAAAAAAAAAGTTTCCAAAAATGGCCTTGACACGTGTAGATATTCTGTGAACTCCATTCCAGAAGCTGATATAAATGTAATGGAAGGTGAGCTCATGTCATTTACAAAGAGGCTTTTACGAATCGTCACCGTGTCCTGGGTAAGTATTGTCACAAGAGTTTTTCATGTTCCAGTTCATGATTTTTATTCTTCGCTTCACTTGGTCTGAGATCTTTTGGGGATTGACAAACTTGCTGGACTCTGATGCTGTTTGTCTCGAGCTTTGAAGGAATTCCAGAGGGAATGCCAGGTAATTCAGGTTTGACTGCGTGGTTGCAGGGAGATGTGCAGACATTCCTCATTGCTGGGAGGATCAGAAGAGCATGATGAAACCTTTGTAGCGTGCCTGAAGCCTGGAAGAACACTTTAGTGTTTGCTGTCTGCGCATCAGGCCTTATGCAGAAATGAAAAAGGAAGTTCTCTGTTCGTTGTATTGAATTTTGCACTGGGAATTAGAAAAATAAAAACTGAAACTAAAAATCAAGCAAACTTAGGTTATTTATTTTGGAGCTTGGTCTGGTGAAAAGATTTCCAAACAGCTGCTTTGTGGAAATGATTATTAAACCTACAGATTCAGCAGCTGTAAAACACTAACATGACTCAGTCAGTGAGAATTTTTACTGCTGTTTGTCAGTTTGTTCACCTTCTAATTGACTAATGACGAACAATGCAAGGTAATTTTTAAAAATGGGAAATTAACAACTTGATTTTATTAGGAAGTGTCAGTGGCTTCTCTGGAATCCACTCAATAGTGACTCAAGTGTAAAGAATTGCTGCCAGCTCTCCAAAGTGCAGCTTGTTCGGATCAGCTGGGGTGTCACTGCGAGTTGTGTTTCTCTGAGCGTGGCTGTACTGACCTTAGCTTTACCCGTAAAGCTGTGTATAAATGCTCTGGGTGTGTATGAAGGACTGGGAATGTTATTTCTCACTGTGGAGGTTTAAACATCTCGGTCCTATCCAGCCTTCAGAGCCAAGGAGCGAGGCTGAGCTCTCGGAGCTTTGTAGCATTTCTCTCAAATTCTCTGCTTGTAAATTCTGTTATCTGAGGTCATTTCTGATGTATTTAGGAACGGAGTTTCCTTCTGTCTCTGATGGAGTCAGAGCCTGGGTGCAGTTTTGTACTGTTGGATGCTGCTGGGAAATGGTTGGCTTATTGCATCCTAAAAGCCTTTTCCTGAGGGCTTTAGAGGAAACAAACAATTCATGGGAACGTGAATGAATGTTCAAAAATACCAGCTACTAGAACTAATGGTTAAACATTCCTGTATTAAAGCTATTAACAAATTTATATGATAAAATTATTCTGCTTCCTTATGCAAAAAAGAATCTTCCACTCACAGGCAGACCAACAAGAATTAAAAGGATTTAAATGATGTTATATTATTTTAAATAATGTTGTATTGTTGAATTATGCCTTTATTTCACCTGAGAGTGTTGGGATCAGTCGTATGTCACCGCCTTGCTTTATAGAGCGTATGGGAAAGGATTGAATGCCAGGAACTTCAGGCAGCTCAAACTTTAAAAACCAAAACTGTTCTTGTTTTGAGAACCCTCTGAAGAGCCTGAGATGTTTTAACCTCCCGAATAGGACGGCATGAACTGGTTGCAGGGTGGCTGTTCTGCTCCTGCTTGTGCACGAGGCACTCGGGTGGGACTGTAATGCCATCACAAGTCGAGTACATTTTTTTGCATTAATTGCAAAAAATGATGCTTAATACATTTTTTTTGCACTGTTAGGGAGAGGCCTTTGCTGGCCAAGTGCTGTTTTCCATTCCTTTCCCGTTTCTGAAGTACCCTTCCTTAGCGAGTCAAGTTGCCAGAGAAGGAAAAATCAAACCCTTCCCTCTCCTTGACTGCCTAAAGAGGCAATGGGACAGTCCTAAAAATAACCAAGGAATCTGAAACAGAAGTCTTGGTGAAATACACCCCCCACCCACCGCCCTTGGGTGGGAGTTTTGCCATGAATTTCGATGAGTTCAGGACTTTGATGTGTTGGCCAACCACTGCCGTTGAGTTGTTCTTGGCCGGCTGTGCCGGCTGCCTCTTGTGCTGTTTCCCAGAATAACCAGTTTGATAAGGTGTTTACCACTGACAAATATGGAATGGGTCCTGGAGCGAGCACTTCACGTTACAGAGTGGCTGTCATGTAAAAACACGCAGCGAACGCTTTCCTGAAACTTCTGGCGGGGGGTTATTTTTAGTTGGTTGGTTAAGGTTGATGATGTCAGTGGCTGTCATGTAAAAACACGCAGCGAGCGCTTTCCTGAAACTTCTGGCGGGGGTTATTTTTAGTTGGTTGGTTAAGATTGATGATGACCCTCTAAGAAAAAGGCAAATTTCAGCATGCCCCTAGGGAACGACTGCGGTCTTTGAAGAAATAAATATGTGGTGATTCTTATTTACCACCTAAGGACTGACATTATAACTGGTAGGTGCATATGATCGCTTCATTTTGAACAAATTACAATTCTAGAAGATAATTGAGCCTTGGAAGGGATGGGCTTACGCTTGCTGAAGTCCAAGTCAAGCTGAATGTGTATCCTCCAGCTGAACTTGTCCCATGGCCATGAGGCTAATTATCCAAATATCACAGGACTCCTGGAGGCTCCAGGAGAGATGTCTCTTGGAAACAACAACATCCTGATTAATTTGCTTTGGTAAAACCTATTCAAGCTGAAATTTATGTGGATCCTTCACATGCTGTGCAAGATCAGAGCTTTAACATCTCAAAATGATGGAGGGTCGCTTCTGTCCTATTCCCTTCCACCTGCTCCCCCCCCACCTCCCTCCCAAATTCCTGTTTTGCAGCCAAAATTGTGAGGCACTATGTGCGATGACGATGAAACCACTGCCCTTGTGTGCGACAATGGCTCTGGGCTTTGCAAAGCTGGGTTTGCGGGAGATGATGCCCCACGAGCTGTGTTTCCATCCATCGTTGGACGGCCTCGCCATCAGGTGGGTTGGTACCCAAGTGGAAGTGCTGGCTGGTTGGGTTTGGGTTTTGGGGGGGTTTTTTGAGGCTTTAGACACAGAAGTGAGAAAACATCAGATTCAGGCAAAACTCCCGCTGGCCGTTGTAGGAGTTGAGCCTGTTAAGAACTGGAGGACTGAGCTGCGCATCTTTAATAGCGTGAGGGAAACTTCTTGATCCTTGGGAGAAGGTGTTCTTCGGCCATAAAATGTTGACTATGGAAGAACATGAGTCTTTTAATGATACGAAGGTGTCTTACGGTAAACAAACCCAACTTGTTGGGTTAATTAATGCTTGCGGTATCAATACAAAGAAAAAAGATGGGCAGAACGTTGCTAACGTGAGAAACCAAAGGAATAATAGTGATATGTTCCTTTTCTTCTGTTAAGCAACAGCACAGCCCAGTAAACTTCCAAAAAAGGTCTCTAGCACATCACTTTATCAAAATCATGACTGCAAAGGATAAATGTGGCTTTTCTTGGCTTTGGAAAGAGTCTTTCTGCTTAATTAGTTTTCTAACCATTCCTTTATCAACAGAAGATGCAGATTCTTGTTCATTTTATTCGTATTTGAGTCATATTGTAATTTTCTGGGCTATAAAACCCCTTCCCTGAAGTTCTGTTGTTCAGCTAAATAAGCCTGGTTTGACAGGCAGAAGATAGGTAGCATTTTAAAGAATGTATTTTGAGCACCTCCATGAGTTGTTGCAGTTGAATATCAGCGGTCCTTTCTTTAACCTCTCAAGTTGTTCATTGGCTTTTATTAGTGATTAGGGATGGCAGGTGACGTCGCACAGTTAAGCAGCTCAGCAGCTGTTTTATGGAGTCTGGAATTAAAATGTATCTATGAAAAAATATTTTTATGCTAGTTGATGAATAATATTTGACCTCACATATTTGGAACAATCATGATAGGCTTCCTAATGCAAACACAAGAAATTTAATAAAGCTATTATTTAATTTAAATAATTTAAAAAATTTAATAATGCTATTATTTAATGAGTGATGTTTCTTTTAGAAAATCTGTCTCTGTTGTATGTCAATATACTGCACTAATATTGGAATACTGCACTTTACAGGGTGTTATGGTTGGAATGGGTCAAAAAGACAGCTATGTAGGGGATGAAGCACAAAGCAAAAGAGGCATCCTGACCCTGAAGTACCCCATTGAGCATGGAATCATCACTAACTGGGATGACATGGAAAAGGTGGGTGTTTATTTGGATGTTATTTTGTTGAGGCACCATCTTATACAAGACACACAACTTGCCGTTAACCTTCTTGCAAACCGAAGGGAAAATCCTTGAAGAGTTTGTAATCTCAGCACAGGTGAAAGGATCGTACAGTACGCTACTGCAGGAGTTGATCAGGTCTTGGCATTTCTGGAGCTATTATTCTTTTAAAAAGTAAATGCTTATTACTCGTCGGACGTGGCAGCGTGTTATCAAAGGATTTCATGCTTTACACATCCTGTTTTCAGTCTTGAAGCTCATACTGAGGCAGAACGTGTGACAATGAGAGAAAGTAGCTAAAATAAAAAAAATACAGGTTGCGATTCATCAGAGGTGAATCAGAGGAATATTAAAGATCCGTTACTGAAGATGGGAACAAAACCTGGGAGGTGGAGGGGTGATTTTCCCTCCTGGGTACTCGCCTACATGAACAGGATGATGGGTGATGCCCGCGTCTCGTATTGCACATGACATTCATATGACATTCTCCCTGTCAATTAAAGTGGAAAAGACAGATTGGGGCTTCCTATCCCTGTACTAACTCTTTGAGAGTGGGATTTTTTTTTTTTTTTTTTCCTGAAGCATGTTTTTCTATTGCCAGTTCCAGTTAGCTTTTAACGTCTGGATGGCAAGAGGGCATCTTTATCGAGCCCAAGTTTCTTGGTGTGTGGCCAGTGCGATGACCTCTCTTGTGAAATTCCTGCCCAAAGCCGATAGAGGTGCAACAGGAGTTCCTCGGTTGGTATTTGGAAATAAATTACCCACCTGCTCCTCTAGATGGAAGCACAGGATTTGCATTTCATGATTGTGCTGCTTCCTGCAAGGGCACCTGGCTCCTTCCTGCAGAGGAGAAACTGCCTCGTACATCCCCGTGGGGTGTTCTTCCTGAGAATTTTCCTGCTGTCTATATTCAGCGAGAAATTCTATTTCTCTGTAGGAAAAAAAAAATAAAATTGGAGGTCACTGTTTTATGTTCTTCCCTTGGTGATTGGTCTGTGCATCTGGAAATTGTCCCGTGGATAACACTGACTGGGATGGGTTCTGTCTCGGGGTAGTGCTGGATGCCAGAGCAGGCTGTCTGAAATCTAGTTAGGAGAAGGAATTGGAGAAGGTAAAAAAAGTTGGTATGAGCTTTACTGTAGTGTGAGCTCGTGGCTAGATCGGTTGTTTTTAGGGGGTAACGTGGTGGAGGCTTCAATAATGGTCAGATGCTGTATGGGTTCTTGTAGCTGGAACTTCTCTTTGTCACTTAAACAGGTGAAGGAATTGCTTGGGAAAGTGGGTCCCCAGCCCAAATTGACCTTCTGCTGGCAGCCAGCTTGCAACAGACAAGAGCTGGGAAACGTGCCCCACCACTGGGCTGTGCTGGGAGCTCTTGCTGAGCCCTGGAGCAGAGTGGGGCAGAGGGTGGGGGCTGCTTCCGAGTAATGAGCAACACGTAGAAAAAAGAACCACGAGGGAAAGGCTGAGGTAGGGAAGAGACAAGAAACAGCGCTGCTGACTTTTGTGATTATTGCAGATAAGAAAAAAAGCAAATTCTTTTTATTTTTATATGTGGGCTTCCCTGATTCAATCGTGTGATTACATGAGTATCTCGGCTTCCCCTGAAGCTCTGTAACACACACGTGCATGCACTCTTCTGGTGTGAAATGCAATTCTTAGAAAGGCAATTCCTAAAGTTTTCATGCTAAAGCAGTATCTTTTGTATACATATGTCTATTTTTCCTCCCCAGGATTTTTTAAACCACTTGCATGATTTTCATCCAAACCACAACTTTCTTTCTAGTGCTTGGAAATAATATCACAATGTAGGTGTAATAATATCACAATGAAATAATAATAATAATGAAATAATATCACAATGTAGAAGAAATAAGAAAATTACTGGGTAACGTGCCAAAAATGGGACAAAGGCATCATAGTGCCGTGCCGGACCATCCACACATTACAAACAGCAGAGGGGTCAGCAAAAGATGAGGATGACTTTTGCGTGTGTGGGAGAGCGAGGATGCTGCCGGATGCGCAGATGTTGGTGTGAGTCGGGAGGAGAACATGTCGGCGATGAAGCGAAGCATTCTTCTTCTCGTGTGCTTCAGTTCACAATATTCAAATCGGGGCTGCTCTGTTTGCCGCTGGATGATAATCCAGGGCACTGGACGTCACTGTTAATTTGTTCCCAGCAGCTGAGCTGGCGATGTATGGGAGGGCAAGCGTTGGGATGGAGCGTTTCTGGCTCTGGTGACTCTTCCTCAGTAATTTCTCTTTGCTGTTGTTCCTGCTGCTTACATTTAATTCTTCTGACCTATAAAATCCAACACTGAACTATTTTTGTTTCTCGTAGAATATCATTATCCATCAATGTTACAAAAAAGCGATTTTCATTTCTAGATTTGGCATCATTCTTTCTATAACGAACTCCGGGTTGCACCGGAGGAACACCCCGTCCTGCTGACTGAGGCTCCCTTGAATCCCAAGGCCAACCGTGAAAAAATGACTCAGGTAATCGTCTGAATCATAGAACCACAGGATGGTTTGGGTTGGAAAGGACCTTAAAGATCATCCAGTGCCACCCCCTGCCATGGGCAGGGACATGTCCCACCAGCCCAGGTTGCCCAAAGCCTCATCCAGCCTGGCCTTGAACCCCTCCAGGGATGGGGCATCCACAGCTTCTCTGGGCAACCTGGGCCACTGCCTCACCCCCCGCACAGCAACACATTTCTTCTTAGTATCTCGTATAAATCTCCCCTCTTTCAGCTTAAAGAAAGCCCCTCGTCCTATCACTCCAATCCCCAACAAAGAGTCCCTCCCCATCTCCCCCATAGCCCCCTTTAAGTACTGAAAGGCTGCTCTAAGGTCTCCCCAGAGACTTCTCTTCTCCAGGCTGAACAACCCCACCTCTCTCAGCCTGTCCTTGTACGGGAGATGCTCCAGCCTCTGACCATCTTCGTGGCCTCCTCTGGACTCGCTCCAACAGGTCCAGTGACTTCAGTGATTTTTTTTCATTAAATCCTAAAGAAAACACAGCGTACCTTTCATAGCAGAACCATGGTTCAGGAGGGGACTCAGAAACAGTAACTGGCAGTATTCATTTAGAACAAAATCGAAATTACTGTCTCTTCAGATACTCTTAAGTGTAGATCCCAAATGTGTTCACCTTCTTCATTCCAGATTATGTTCGAGACGTTCAATGTGCCAGCCATGTACGTAGCCATCCAGGCGGTGCTGTCTCTGTATGCGTCTGGAAGAACGACGGGTGAGTCTCTCTGGGGGTGGTGGTTTCCACCTCTGCGCCTCTCCTGGCTGTGTATTGGATACACCCATGGATAGATGTTGGTCACGGTGCACCAGCTGGGTATTCAGAACTGAAACTGGAAACTGGATACTTCCCACCATGTTGTGCAAGTATTTGGTTGTTTTTGACCTCATGGCAGGTGTGGGTATGGATTTATGACTTTCTGCTTCACAAGCTCAAGTGACTATGGCTGAACTATGTGAACAGATGAACGATGGCACGGTTTGAGCCTGCCCTTCATTGCACAGCGTAGAGGAGAGGCTGTGTCTGTACAAGATTGTTCCAAACCCACGGTTCCTTCTTACTTTAGACCTACCTCTATTGTTAAGCTCCATTCCCAGTAGAGAAAAAAAATAAAATTCAGTAACTAAATGAAAATATTTCATTTAAATGTTGAATTTCAATCACCTAATGATGTCTGCTGTTAAGCGATCATTAGAATTAGCATGGAGGGCTCTTCTTATTGCCATTTAGAATCTGATCAAGCACTGAGACAATAAATTACTTCTCAGCTACCCTTGAGTCTTCATATACTTTGAGAAAAATTAAAATACCATCTGTCTTTGCAGACTGATGCCACAATATAATTTTGTATAAAAAGATCGCCAGCTTAGGGGAATTACGATTGTCATAAATTACTTGTTTTATGTTTGAAATTCAATTATTTGTATGCATGTTTGGTATCAGAAATGCCTTATTCATTTTGAATGGAAAACATGTCCTTCATTTTCTGTCCAAGAATATAAGTAACGTGGCTGCACACAGATAAACCCTTGTTGTATTTTTCCTAATGGGGTGGTTTATTTTAATGGCAGGTTAAAATTTTTAATTTTATAGATAGATTTTTATTTACAGTTTGGACATTATTTTGTGTCTGTAAAATGCTAGGGATCATCTGACATGAAAGTCTGCATCCATGTGAGCTCATCATTGCTAGCATCCATTCAGCAAGAACAATGCAACCAAATTGCTGAATGTTTTGTGTCTTTTTTCCCCAAACGCAGTTGCTGCGTAGTTTGTGCTACGATTTCATCTCACGTGAGCAGCTCTTTAGCGAAACAAACGCCATGTGAGCATCTCTGTCGTTGCAGGTTTCAGTTGTGAATATGGAGTGTGTGGGAACCCCATATCAGTGGAAAATCACCAGCTTTTCCTTTTTTTTTTTCCCTTTCCAGGAATAGTTTTGGATTCTGGGGATGGCGTCACACACAACGTGCCCATCTACGAGGGCTACGCCTTGCCTCACGCCATCATGAGACTCGATCTGGCGGGCAGAGACCTGACGGACTATCTCATGAAAATTCTGACAGAGAGGGGCTACTCATTTGTCACCACCGGTACCGAGCTGTGCTTTGGGTTTGCTCTGTTAGTTGTATTATTATGCAGGAAGCATCAAAACCCCCATCGCTAGGTTGGTCTGGGATAAACAGTTCCCGTTAGCTAATGGGATTCTCCTGACTTTGGCTTTCGGCATATTTGTAGAGCATCAAGGACGAGGATGCCACCTCGTTAGGAAATCCCAAGTCATTAATAAATACAACTGGTTGTTGTATTTGATCATAACTCTTCTGCAAGGGAACAGAGTTAGTGGCTGGTAAGGGAGGAACCTCTGGAGGTATGATGGAGGTTTTGGGACATCTCTTGACAGTATTCTGTAGTACAATTTATCTTTTGTTTGCCAATGAGGGGAATTTGGTAATGCAAAGGGAAAGTAACATTATTGAGACAACAGAGAGGTCAGAACCCAACAAACCGTACGACCATCATGAACCTGGGGAAACGAATCTGTGTCCTGGCTGTCATACAGTATGTTGATTAAAAACTTATTGGCTGTCTGCAGCGGAGCGGGAGATTGTGAGAGACATCAAGGAGAAGCTTTGTTACGTGGCTTTGGATTTTGAAAATGAAATGGCAGCTGCTGCTTCCTCCTCCTCTCTTGAGAAGAGCTATGAGCTTCCTGATGGACAAGTCATCACCATTGGGAATGAGCGGTTCCGATGCCCGGAAACTCTCTTCCAGCCATCCTTCATAGGTGTGACAGAACTTTTTCTTTCTAGGAACTTGACAGAGAATGAAAAGAAGAATTTCTTAGGCAGGGTAGACAACCTTCAGCTGTAGGAACTGAGGTATTTGTCCTCAAATGTCCCTAGAAACATTCAGCTTCTATTGACTTAATCAGTTCTTTAGAAGCTATGAACACTGCTGCTACAGCTGCTGGACAGAAAGACGCCTGTCAGCTTAGAAATACCTGAGTCCCCAGAAGGTTTCAACCTCTTATAAATCCAGTAGGGTTTCTAAGATGATGTTTTAGAATACTGCCAGAAGATCATGCTTTTTATCCTGACACATAACCGCACAGTGGTGCTTATGAGCCTTTTTTATCTAGTTACTGCTTCTGTTTGTCATTGAGTTATATTTACCTGTAATTTATTAATAAAAAATCAAATCATATGTTATTTTCCAGTAGTTTCATCTGTAGTGTTAAAAATCCCATTCTATCCAGGGATGACCGACAGTTTATGGGGCAACGATTTCCATTAAAGTAAATGGTGAAGCTAGCTACGTTTGTATGTAGAAAGGAAACTGTTCAAGCATTACTGTAGCTCCAAGTTCTGCCTTTGGACCTCAGCAGGAGTGATGGTCAAATATTCTGCATTCGAACATCAGCAGGAGGAATTATTTTTAGTACACAGAGGAGTTTGGCTGCCAGAATTGTGTCAGGGATCAGAGCTGGTGCTCACCAATGGTCAGTATCAGAAATGTAGTGATGGAAATCAGGATTTCCTGGGTCACAGATCTTTGTCAAAGTGTGTGTGTTAAGCTAGTTAAAAAGTCTAGTTAACTTCAGTGTACTGGCATTCAGATTAAACCAACAACTCAAAAGCAAGGTAGCTCACTGAAATGCCAAGTGGGCTTTTACTTCTAGGTAACAGCATCATAAAAGACTACAAAAATGACAAACTGTCACAGTAACGCCTCATTTTAAATTTTTCCTTAAATAATGTTAATTTTGTTTTTTACTTGAGGAAGTTAAAAACCCAGTATGAAATCAGAATGGGCATCTTTTTTCCTCCCAAGTGCGCTTTGCTTGTATAATTACTGTGCTGAGATTACAAAGAGGGTGAGGAGCATGTCCTGTCTTTCTCCTTCCTCTCCTAAGCATCATGTAGATTTTTTTTCTGGAGGTTTCTTAAGGGAGACAGCTTGGACTAGCGAGCCTTCCTTTCATTTTAACAGTAAGAAAGAGAAAGGGACCGAGGGAAATAACATGTTGAAACGTCTTTCCACTCAGGGATGGAATCTGCAGGTATCCACGAAACCACTTACAACAGTATAATGAAATGCGATATCGACATCCGTAAGGATCTCTATGCCAACAACGTCCTCTCTGGGGGAACCACCATGTACCCTGGGATTGGCGATCGCATGCAGAAAGAGATTACGGCTTTGGCTCCAAGCACTATGAAGATCAAGGTGATTTTGAACACCTACACTTAAAAAAGAAGCTCTTGTTGGAAAGTTAGGTCTTATAAACAAATCAAAATGTCCATATGAGAATGGCCAGGTCTTGCATCCCAAGTCCTGACCTTGGGCAGCCTGCTGAATTCATACCTCTTTTCCTCCTACCAGCCAAAGCAGAATTAAAAGAGGGGTTTGGGAGGTACTGGAATAAAAATAGTTGCTGAAGCCATGGGAGTTGATGAGGTCATTTTGGGAAAATGTGAAACAACAGTTAAGGAAGAGAGTCCAGGGGGATTCCCGGTGAAGGAGGGCTATGAGGGAGAAGAGGGCCACTCTCTGTCAACTTGAAGTGGAAGATAAAACACGGCAGCCTTTCTGCCTCTTAGGTGCTCCACTTCATTGGGGTTGTGCTTCTGCAATGACAAGACTTTCAGCTAGTTATTTCATCCAAAGAGATGTTTATTGTGTTACCTGCTGCTCACTTTTCTTACAACATTGTGCTTCTCTTCTAGATGATTGCACCACCAGAACGTAAATACTCTGTCTGGATTGGCGGTTCCATACTGGCGTCTCTGTCCACTTTTCAGCAAATGTGGATCAGTAAAGATGAATACGAGGAAGCCGGCCCCTCTATTGTCCATCGCAAGTGCTTTTGAATCCTTCCATCGTGTATCGTCAGTGATAAGTAATGCTGCTGCTTCTCGACACATCACCTGCCCTCGTTCACCTCCGAGGGTGGTTTGGCTTTCTTCCACATGTTAAAAAAAAACAAAACAAAACACTGTATGGAAATCATATGAATCAGTGAATTACATAATGTGAGATTTGGGTACCAGAGAAGGCTTTTTATGCAGTTAGGTGGTACACGGGATTCTTCTAAGGGGGCTTACTGAGGACACAGCGGATTTATGGGTACGGACGTGCACGTGGGTGCCAGCTCTTTCAGCAGAGCTTGTGTGGATGTCTTGCTGTCCTGCAGTTGTTTGGGAGGAGACCTTTGTCTCCCTGTGACCACCGCTCCCCATCAGTAAGGAGCCTCACCAAGCTATGGTACTTCTGAACTTGCATGGAAGAGGTTAATTTATTGCATGTATTATTGCTTTCTTCATCTCTCTTCCCAAGCAGTTAGCTGATGTTTCCTTTACTTTTGGTATATATGTGCTAAGCTAATGACTACAGAGAAAATAGCCTTTTAAATATGTTATTGAAATACTCTGAGCTTAATCAATAAAAGTGTAGTTATCCATGTAAGGCTGCTGTGGCTTGCATTAATTTCATAGTGACTAGTTTATCTGTTAAAATGATATTTACTAATTTATATTTCAGATTTATTATGAAAAAGGTTTCATTCCCTCTGAGTTTTCTAGCTAAGCAATTTTGAAATGCAAACAGAATTGTTTTGCAGTTTCTATTTAAAAAAAAAAAATCTTCCTGAATGACAGATTTTCATAATGTTCCATATGAGGATGAGGGTCAGCTATGAAGATTTTACTGTGTCAGATACCAGGCAAGTGTGTTCTGGATGATTCTGGAGGCCGGAGACTTTGAACTGATGTGATGCCAGGCTTGACGTGCATCTTAGGATTTAAATCAAACCTGTCAAGTTCTTGCCAGTAAACACAATGTCCTCTTTCCAAAGATGGGGAAAAGTTATGAGCTGGATTTACAGACTTCTGAAAATGCATCTAGGGGATGTTTTAAAGAATCTTCTTACTACTGTGAGTGCCAACTCAGGGTGGTGGAATTCCTTATCTCATTTCTTTATCAATTTTATTGCAGATTTCCCAGCCTCTGAATGAGTTTTACTTTATTATCTTGGTCTCAGCTTACATGATTGCTCGCTGCTTAAGTTGATAATAAATCACTGTACATACAGGAATAGCACTGTTAACTGGCCTCATCGCCTGCTGAAGAAACATAACCTACATTTTAATCTTGACCTCTTGTAGGTGTGATGGTCGAGAGCATAAAGCTGGGTACTCAGATCTCTGGAACTGAGTTAGATTTGCAGTCCCCTGTAGCATCAAAGCAAAATTCCATTCAGTTTGCTAATAATTTACTTGTTTCAGTAGTAGAAATGAAGGATCTTTAGCTTTTCATTTTTTAAAAAAATAAATGTATCCTTTCAGTATATACTTACAGCTTGTTAATCAGGAAAAAAAGAAAGACAATGTTTAGAAGTGTGTATTTTTTTTGTAAGTGGCAAGGGAGGTACCCGTGCACAGCATTTGCACATACCTGAAAGAGTTCTTTGGGCTTTTCTTCTTCCTTCCCTTCCCCAGGTCTCCTTCTCTCATTCTCCATGACAAAATCCTCTTTGATCCTTGGTCGGCATCTCCAGCTCCTGGCACAGCTGGGGCTGAGGTGGGAGCTCTCGATGGCTGGAATATGAATCCTCATCCCGCAGCTGACTCCTCAAAAGGAGTCTCTGAATGCCTCCCTAACAATCTGCGCGAGGAATCCTATTCAAAATTAACGTGCATTTTGAGAAGAGAATGAATGATGTGCTAAGAGCACATACAGATAAAAATGAGTAAAACTGTAAAGCCGTTTGTGGGATCTGGCAAACCTCTGCTCCTCTGGGAGGAAATTGCCGTAGCCACCGTGCAAGTCCTGGGTTTATGGATGTGCTTGTACAGAGCACTGTAGCAGTGGGAACCAAGAGTAGGGAGTACCCATAGCCAAGGAAATAGTTCCCAGCTTTCTCCAAACACCGGGTGTTCCCAACTACTCCTTGATTACCATTTCACTGTAAGATTCTCTTTAAACCCTTGGTGTTAACGTTTATACTCCGTCATACCTTCTTCTGTGATCTGATGTGGGTTTTCCAGTATGGCTGAGGATGGGCATCCTAAATTTGAACGAGCTTCTGCAGATCATATCTGTGTAATATCAACAGGGCCACCAGGGCCAAACATTCAGAAATCATCTGGCGCCGGAGAATGGCTTTGTGTTTCGCTTTTCTAATTCAGGTGGTTTTACATGCTTAACAGTCACTTGGGTTTTCTTCCCTAGAGCCATACAGGCTATAAATATCTTCTTCAAAAAACAAACAAACCACATTTCTCTCAGCTTTAGAAATTAGGACTGAGAAGACACCTTCCCAGCAAACTAATGTATCTTGAGGTTCATGATAAATCGTGGCTTTACCATATCGTATCGGGTAGACCTCACGGGCAGAGCTAGTTCAGAATTTTATCCTAAGAGTGGATGAACTTGATAGAGAAAGAGGAAAGATTATCTTCTACAATGAGACTTTTTAGGTAGCAGCTATATGTATTTTTAATAGATTCTATTGTTTCAGTAAATAAAATCAGCTTGTGAATGAGACACTCCAAAGGCAGAACGCTTATCTTCTCGGAAATGTAAGACAGCAAACGAAAGGCTACAAATAACTCTCTGTATGGCTGTGGGTGATCTGCTTTATTCAGTCCATGATGGCGATTTAATCACATTTTTCTAAAGAGTAGGTAGACAATGACCAAGCGAATTTGTGTCACTATTTTACTTCAAGGTAGGCTTATCAAGATCATCTAGCTAGAAGTTACCTTAAATCATTAAAATATTTGTGTCTTTGGAGCAGAAAGGAAGAGTTACTGTTATGACCTGTCAAGGGCAAGAGAGTTCAACCGCTTGGTCCCTACGGGCCACCAGCGCATCGTATCCTCACCACACACAGACTGATAGGACGCAGAGGAAGCCTGTTACATTGGTTAGCGTTGTGGCTGTCTTGGAAATAGTGTCTTGCAATAGAAATATTAATGGTAGTGACTGTTCTTTGCCAGTTTTTTCTATTCTGAAGATGTAAACTGTTCCGCATCAAGAGCGTGCCTGCTCCTGCTAGCTGAAGCTGTCTGGAGGGGAGCATGAGGTAAAGGGTAGGGACCTCTCCTGGTCCCAAGGGAGAATCCTCAGCTGCATCTGGATGGTTTGGGCAAAGAGTCTTTTCCAACTTCAGCAGTGAGCCACGTCCAGTCTCTGTTTTTTGAAGGTACGATTTTTTTTTTTCAATATATTTGCAAGGTAGAATTCTTGGAATTCTCAGCATATGTTTTGGTTAACACCACATCCTTTGTTGTGACCCTTACTAGTGCAATCTTGTATCTTTTCAAAATATGCTTCCTAGAAGATCATGTTCCTAGCCTGTGTCTTTGATTATTTTACCTCCTTCCTTTATCCAAGAAACGTGTGTCTTCACGTTCAGGACTCTTTCATAGCTTTAACCCGTTTCCTCTTTTTTCCTATGAAGTAGTTGATTTATGCTTCTGATAATCTTCTCTTTCAAATCAAGCATGCTGTTGCTTTTTTTCTTTTTTTTTTTTTTTTTTCCTTGTGGAGCAGGTCCCTATAAACATCATCTTCACTACTTCACTCCTTCTATAAAACTTTTTAAGGCCTTGATGCCCCTGACTCCCAACTGGAATGGGAACCTCAGGTGGTTTTCTATCAAACGTTGCCCTGCCTTTTGCCACCCCAAGGTTATTCCTTTTCTTAGATTAAATAGTTCTCATGAACAGGAATGAATTTTGGGTTTTTTGTCTCTGTACAGCACCTTTTGTAGTTGGGTTTTTGGCCTTGGTTGGGCAGCTATGCCATGTAGGTGAGTTACTACCTGCTTCTGGGTGTGTGAAACATTGTGTTTGAATACAGTTCTCAAAAGTAAGGGTGCTCTTAAGTAAGAATAAGAGTATTTTTCAGAGGGATACTTTTTCAGACTGATGCTGTACTGGATATATATGGTGTCCTTATATAGCACTTGAAGTTCATCTCGGAACCCTGCTGCTTTCAAACGGTTCAAGAAACTGTCTCCTATGTACTTGAAAATTTTCCAAGTTTTTCTGAAATTCACAGTCACGTCTTGTTCATTTAGTAATAGCTGTATAATAATAAGCTTTCATTAACGTTCTCAGAATTGCTTTCCTGGAAACATGTTAAATAATGTGTCACTTCAAAGCAACTCCTTCTCCCTTGTTCCCTTTAACAAAGAAAACTTTGTCACCATTGTTGAAAGGTTATTTCTTCTAAAGGAAGGAAAATCTATCCAGGGGAAGAGTAAGCAGATATTCCCCCTCACACGTTTTT